TCCGGATCGTATTTATCAATCGATCATTGATTGTTTCATCTCATTTCTCATTCATTAAGATACCATTTTTACAATCATCAACCACTGCGTTCGGCCCAAACTCTCACATGCTCCGATGAAACCAATCAATCATTGACCGCACATTACTTATTTTTTATTTTTATTTTTTATTTTATTTTATTTTTATTTTTTTTTTATTATATTATGGGTGTTATTTTCACTGTTATTTTTGTTTCGACAAGAAGCTTGATTGACCTCTTCCCGACTGGAATTTCTTGAGCGACGCACATCAAGTTTTATCCGCGTGCGACAACTTTTTTCCTGCTCTCTTTCGTTGTGCGCGCGTTTTTTCACACCTTATTTAATGCGTAATATGCAAGGCATGATTTGTGCGAGAGGATTTGCATTTATATTATTTTATATTACATCTTATATTACCATTTTAACAGACTAACGTACACACGCCGAATTTGCTTTAACTTAATTGCACTAATAAAAGTGTAACACTCGAACTCATACAGAACGTCGAGTTTTCTGTGCTGATAAGTTGAGTGACCTGATTTTTTTTTTTCGCTAAAACAATTTGTATAAATAGGTGCATCTTGGCACCAACCGTCTGCCCGTGTTTTTTTGTTGCCTACAGCAAGAATTTCCTCTTTACCATCAATCACTTGCATTAATAGCAATTTTTCATCCCTTTATCAATATTCGCAGAAAAAGGTCTCATTGTCTGTCAGTACAGTACATACAGAACAGCACAGTAATACCACCTCACACCCATCCATTCACAGTCAAGCTCCATACGTCACCACCCTTCTGTCCTCTAAAAATAACTGTGTGATAACATTTATAACATTACTTGCTTGCGTTGTTCAGGTATTTATTTATTAATTAATTAATTCATCCATTCTATATACTGTATATACATATGTATACACCTGTACATGTACTGTATATATAAAATAAAATAAATTTTCCAAACGGTCAATTACATACGCAGACCATCATCTTTCTTCGTTCACTTGGACATTCTTAAAATTACGAATATTTAAATACCTCTAACCTCCTCCCCCTTTTTCTTTTCCTTTCCTCGCAACAACATCAGGCGAACACTTTCTCAACTCTCGACTGCCTCAAGTGATTTCCGTTCACCAAGCGTGACCCGAATAATTTAAGCAATAAGGAATACCGATAGTTAGTTATTCTTTTTAACATTCCTTTGTCTTCTTAAAAAAATACTCCGTGACCTCGTCAACTGATAGATTTGTAAATTATTTGGTTGACCCGTTTGTTGTTGTCGGTAGATATTGTATATCGCTTTCGCTTTCTCTATCTCTTTCTCTTTCTCTTTTCTCTTTTCTCTTTTTTCTTTCTTGGCTCTCAATTAAAATCCGTTTGGGGACATAAAAAAATTCGAGCAACAATAAAATTAATTACACTTGACAAGTTGATAACCGCCCGTGCAAATTTAAAATAGCACTGAATCGTATTAGCATTTCGGCGGGACAATATAATAATTCATTTATTGAAAAGAGACTATTTTCGTTGTACATAATATATATATATAATTTACAGCATTTTACCCCTTTCCTCCTTTTGTGTTGGGCACTTTTTTTTTTTTTTCTTTCCCCGCAAATTTAAAACCAAAAACCTTTTTTTTTTTTTTTTATATCTCATTTTCATTTTTTTTTTTTTTTTACTTACCCCACACACGCAAACATTTCATATATCCCTTTCACATTCAGCCAGTAAATACATCAATCATCTTTCATTCACAATCATTAGTCAGCATCTCTTTCATCACACACTCTTCTTTTGACTCGAAAACAAAAAAATATATATAGATATATCTATAACTACTATTATCATCTCATTTCTCGGATACGTATATAAATACCCATCTCCCTCCAAAGAAAGACGTTCATCCGCGACTTGAAAAACAACTCAAATCATCGAGCATATTCTGATTTGCTCTTTCGTCCATCTACAACACGCACAGAATGCAGTTCGCCTCAGAAGAGTCAAAGTCGGGTTGGCTGACGAAGCTCGGTGGCAACGCTCTGAGGAAGACATGGAAACGTCGTTGGTTTGAATTGCGAGGTAACTTCTTACGCTATTATAGGCACCAGGTATGTATTCATCCATCAATGGTCTGTTCGTTGATGAGCGGTGGCAGGCGTGATGCTAACTTCTTCTCCTCCTTTTCTCGAAATAATTCAGTCCGACAAAGAGCCTGCCGGTGTTATCAACCTCACCGCCTACAATTCAATATGTCAGGATTCCTCGGCGACAAAGAAGTCGCCAAACTGTATACGAATCGAAAAGGTCATACGCGAATCGGATTCCATCCACTCAAACCTAAGCTATCATGAACCTTCGGTGAAGAAACAACCTACGTTCCTGGCGTTCGCCGATACCGAAGCTGAAATGCAGGAATGGATATCCGTGCTGGAGAGGCATCTGGGCGGAAGGAATATTGCCGACATTGTTCTTGACAGATTGGAGTTGACCGGAAACATTGGAATGCATCGTAGACAGGCCAGCTACGGTTCGTTAAGTTCTTTCTACTCGAGGAATAGTAATGTCTGTTCAACGCCGGAATCCGCCTTATCCTCAAGACGTCCGTCGTTGGATTCATTGAGCCTGGGAACTCCCTCGTTGGACTCGAGGAAGAGTTCGATCGATTCTTTTCACGGCAATGCCACACCACCAAACGGAAGCAACAACAATGGGGTTGTCTCCACGACGCGCAATCTCTCCCAACCATCATCTCGACCCGAGACACCATCAAATTTGGTGGCGTTGCTTGGACTCGGTCAACCGATCCTGCGTAAACCCGCTTCCTCGTCAGCTCTGCAAGACCGACGAGGGAACGCCAACGGTGCCGAGAACGGTTGCCAACCAAGCTCACAACAGCAAGGTCACGTTCGCAAACTGTCGTTAAACATCAGCAAGGAACGGTTGGCGCCGTTGATCATGGTGCACGGAGAGAACTCGAAATTCTCCTCGTCACCCGATGTTGTCAATTTTTCGAACGGCAATGGAATCAGGGCGTCGACTAGCAGTGGAAGTATAAATAGCGCGTTCAACATCGCGCACAGTCCGCTCAATGGTCCATTCACAAGCAGCGCGTTAAACGGTAATAAAAAGAGAGACAATAATAATAATTGTGGTAGCGTCCAATCAAATTTTCCGACGAACGCAACGGTGCCCCCGTCGCCCGTCACACCGTTGGCCAACGTTTTCCCGAGTCATTTGTCTTGAAAGAAGGAATGATAATAATAATAATAATCATAATAATAAAAATAAAAAAGACACTAAAATTATATCTCATAAAAGGACTAGTTTTAGACTTTCAATGAACAATCTCTAAAAAAAGAAAAAAATCACCTAATAGTTTTTGTTCACGTATCATCGCATTTCGCAATCAATTCCTCACATAAGCAAATCATAAATGTAGACAAGATTGATTACACATGCACATCGTATGTGTTCTAAATATAAAAGATGGACAATTTGATTTAATTTCTAATTTACGAAATAAGATGTTTTTTTATAGTCAGACAAATAAATATGCTCGGTGGTTGGACGAACGAGATATGTGTAAATGAGCATTAGCCTAATTTGAAAATAACATTTACTGTAATTTAGTATGAAGCGTGCCGTGTTGAGACTTTGTGACCATTATCGAACAACCTTTCCTTTGATAGATTTTTTCTTTTTCTTTTCAAATGTGTATATACAGAGGCGAGTCAAACTCTAGGAGTCATATACAGTATATGCGTTTCCAAGGAATCGAACTTTACCCAAAGTTTATTAAGAATGCACACGATTATTAAAAAGCCTTTCCTAATAAAAATTCTACAAGTTTCAGATGCAAAATTACATTTTTTCGGGTTGCCCTCTCTCACAAACATGTGCAATCGATCTATTCTCGATCTCATCAATGCACATCATAAATGCTTTGTAATAAACTTTCCATCTCGGATTTATTTTTAGAAAGTAAAATTGAATGTTTTTTATCTTTGCCAGAGTCATCCATCTGATGATATCAAATCTTAATTGCTTGTTTATTTAGACCAACACCAAGAATTAATTATTTATTTATCGTTTGGTCATGTAAAAAAAAGATAATTTGTCAACCTATATTTATCTCACAATATTATGATATTTTTTTTTTTTTTAGAAAAAATCTCATATCGGGTTTGCTGGTCCAATCGGCCGGTCTTCCGATCTCCCTGACCAAAATAACTCCGATTCATCCAGCTGACTGGTGTATGGTAAGACTCGATATTAAACATTCATTTTCGTTTACAAACTGGTCAAGATTGCTAAGGTCGCAAGAATCGCAAGACGGGTCTGACGATTAAATTTTTAACTGGTCTTTTCGAGTCCTACGATGATCCCCATTGATATACCGCACAGTACGTGTATGAAAGAACTACGTACACAGTAAAGCAAAATAAAATAAAATAAGTGGGAAAATAAGATTCCGGAATTAAATTAAAATTTAAATTAAAAAAAATCATTATTATATAATACTCGTGATATTTAGAAAAATGCTCGAAAACGGGTTACGTTAAATAAATAAATGAATAAATAAATAAATTATTATTATTATTATTATTTTATTTAATTTTTTTTATTTAATACCACTACTCTGTTTATTCGGTTTGGTTAAATCCAAATAATGAAGGATTTCGAACTATCGCTTGATAAAAAACTAAAAAAAAAATTTCAATAATAAGAATAAGAGTAATAATAATAATAATAAGATTATTATTATTATTATCATGTTGTTGCTAAAATGACTGTAAATGACGGCGAATAAAATAAGGATAAATTCATCGCACGACGGAGAAAATAAAAAGGATTCTGAAACATTGAAAACAAAAAAGATTTGGTAATTTTGATGATGATTCGTCTATCGCCAAAGATATAAAAGGAATGGTGAATTCAGAAAGTTTAGGCGTCATCGTGTCGACCAAGGAGATGAAACGACGAAAACAAATTAATAATTCTTTTTAATAAATTATCAATGAAAATCAAAAAATTCGCATCAGATACACTTAGGGAATTCCGGTTTTCCTCGAATTTCCATGCATATCCGAGATCACATTCTAGAAAAGTTGGTATGCATGCTCGTAAATTTATAGAAATTGAATTTTATTAAGAAAACAAGGTGATGATAATGTTGGAAGTGACTGGAATTGCTTGATGCAATGATTGGTGATGTTAGAAGTGACCGGAATTGTTTCATGCAATGGTTGGTGACGTCAAAATAAAATCGGAGTGCAGTATTCTAATGTGCGTAATTACTTAATCAACGCAAGTCATTTTCTGCATGAACTCCTTTCTCTACTCCTTTGGAAAAGCATCAAAACGCCACATTTCGCTAATGCAAACATGAACGCACAGCAGAAAGACCGAATAAATCAATATTTTTTCGAAAAATTTTATTTCGCTGGTGATAAGAATCTCGCGTGTGCACGTGACCCTTCTCAACAAGAAGCCTCCCAGATCAACATTAGGAATGCGGCATCGAATTATCGTAAGGCCTTAATGGTATTGAGCCGAGAGCGCGCAGATTTCGTAATACGTCACGAAGCAGCACATTTGATGAATAAAGTGTGGGATAAATATGATCGGTGCTGGATCGGGTCCACGGATGGTGAAATCAGCTTAACCGAAATTGTCGAAAAGGAGGTGAACGAGAAACTATTGAGGAAAGCCCAGAAAAAAGGAACGGAAATTAGAAGCAATATCAAAGAATTTAAGTCAGGGTTGAAGATGGAACATGTTGCAAATATGGTAACTATGATGATCACGCGCCTTTGACGAAATATTCTCGGCATCGAATTTAATCATTTGTAGAGATGTCACGTTGACAAAGATTATGACATTATGGAACCGCCCGACCTGAGCCTACTGATGAATTGCGTAAAAGACTTGGCAACACAAA